GAAATAAACCACAGCTATCGCAAGTAAATCAAACGTGCGTTAAATTCGTTTTATTGATCCGGGGCCAACGACAACTTTATTTCGCTCATTGCAGCAGCAGCGCCAATGCTGTTTCTTTGATTTGCCAGCGAAGCCCTACGCTACCGGTATTTTGCGACGCCACCGCAGCGCCTCCGTTATTTGCGGTCGTAGCATTACTGTTCGTTTTTTCACATTCAACGCATTTGGGATTGTTAACATTTTTTTTGCCGCCAATCTTTGTTATGTGTGCAACGTTTGCGATATCTCTAAAATTCGACTGCCACATACTTTCCTCCACTTGTGCTACACAAATTTGTTTGCCGTCTTCACCTCCACGCATGGAACGGACACCGCCACGTAGAAGCGCCCGCCTCATGAATAACACCAGCATTAACAGCAACGCATTATTATCGCCAATATTGGAAGCGTCCTTTAGCACCGCAGTAAGTAATAGTTCTAACGTGCCCACCAGTGTCTCTAGTACAGCCGCCACAACCGACCAAATGCCTATCGACGATGGAGCCCCAGCCGCCCCAGCCGTTCACACGGTCGCAGGCACCGACTCCGTGCCGGTGTCACGCCAAATCCCCGAAAATAGCTCTGCTAGTCATAACTTCGACGACATCGAGAGACGCATAGCCATGCTGGAGCTCCACTTGAGGGACACCCAGGTACAGTTGCGGGAGCGTGAAGTCCAAAATGAAGTTCTTCGAGCAGCGTTATTGAGCAACGGTAGTTCTGCCGTTATTTACGCCAGCAGCGTAGTCGCAGCCAGCACCTCCGCCGCAGCCAGCACCGCCAGCGCCGCCGCGGTCAACGCAAACGCAATTCGAACCACCGCTAACAAACGCACTGCCAACTAACGTACAGTCGGGTACCTCTACGCCCTTTATTGAAGCCCCATTTATGCCGCCGCCTACTTCGGTGAATTCGTTTTATACCACGGCCCGTTATTTGTAGCGCAATGTCTGATAATTTGCGCAACGCTTCAGCGCTCCCCGCGAACGATCTATTTTCATCGCAGTCATCGAGCGCTCCGATACCGACAACTCAAGCCAACGGGGCTCGCGCAAACTTACAGTACTCACCAAATAATTTTAACTTCCCTAAGAAATTGCTAGACTTGCCTGATTTTAGTGGTAGACCGGAAGACTGGCCCGTGTTTTATGCTGCGTTTATGGAGTCGACGGCGGCATATGGGTATAGTAATTTTGATAACAACCAGCGTCTTCAAAGGTGTTTGAAAGGCGATGCGCGTGAGACGGTGAAATCGTTGCTGATCCACCCTAACAATGTTGGATGCATTATTGAACAGTTGAAGTTCAGGTTTGGGGGCCAGAGCAACTGGTTCGTAGTCAGTTAGCGCAGGTTAAGGAAATAGCGCCAATTTCCGAGAATTTTTTGAGTAAGCTAATACCGTTTGCGACCAAAGTGAAAAACGTTTGTGCTTTCTTGCAGTCAGCTGGCGCCGAACATCATATCTCCAATCCGATGTTGCTTGATGAACTTATCGCGAAGTTACCCATGAGCAAACGCATTGAGTGGGGCAGGTACGCCACCGCCCTGCAGAACGGGCTACCGCACTACATTTTAGTGATTGGCTTACATCACTTGCCAACGTTATATGCACGGTTAACGATGAATGTCAACATCCTGCTCGTGAGCCCAAACGCCGCATGGTACTCCACTTGGACGAGACGATGTCGAGAAAATGCCCGTTATGCCAGGGCCAGCACAAGCCAGCTGACTGCAAGCGCCTAATTGAAGCAACGGTGAGCGATCGATGGACCGAAGTTAAATCCCGGCGATTATGTTTCGCCTGCCTAAATGCGGGTCACACTACAAGCAGTTGCAGAAGACGTAAGCTTTGTGGTATCGATGGGTGCAATCGGGCACATCATAGATTGCTCCATGAGTTCCGGTCAGAGCGCCCGTCAGCTCCACCCACGTCATCGTCACGAAGCGTCGCCCGCTCTGCGTCATCACGGTTTACGTCGCCACCAAACAATCCTCATCAGCAACCGTCTCGCGATAAAGGCGCAACAGTACTAAGTTGTGCTACCAACTCCCCAGAGAGAAAGCTGCTCTATCGTATCCTCCCGGTCACATTGTACGGAAAGCAACGCCGCGTCGACACCTACGCTTTACTCGATGAGGGCTCATCTATAACGATGCTCGATAGTAGCCTTGCAAAGGAGTTGGACTTGCAAGGACGGCCACACAGCCTGCACGTACAATGGTTCGGGGGACATGCGGTACAAGAGCCTGCCACTTTAGTTGACCTACATATAAGCGGTGCCGGTATGAAAAAAAGGCACAGCCTGCAACGAGTTCACGCCGTACGTAATCTTCAGCTGCCAACACAAAGCCTTAGTCGCAGCGATTTAATACTGGACGACAAAGAAGCACGCCACTTGCCAATGCAACCCCACTCTGGTGCGACCCCACGACTCCTCATCGGCATAGACAATTGCCATTTGGGTTTATCATCGACCACCATTACGATGAGGAAAAACGGGCCATTTGCAGCCAACACGGAGCTCGGCTGGGTGGTGTTCGGTCCAGTTAGTAAATGCTCGCCCTCGCCAATAACGTGTCTATTCGTGAACTCCAGTCGGGATGAAGCGCTTCACGACATGGTCGCCGATTTTTTTGAGACTGAGAGTTTTGGTGTGAGACCATCGCCACCTATCGAAAGCGAGGCCGACATCCGTGCACGAGCCATGTTGGAGTCGACAACCTGTCGCGTTGGACCACGTTTCCAGACAGGACTGCTATGGAAGCACGACGACGTTCAATTGCCAGATAGCTACGGAATGGCGCTCAATAGGCTAAGGATCGTTGAAAGAAAAATGAGTCGTGATGTTGGATTTGCTGTCGCCTATAAGCAAATCATTGACAGCTACCTTGAGAAGGGCTACGCACGCAGACTCGCAACGTCTGAATACGCTTCGTCGACGCCACGTACCTGGTACTTGCCGCATTTCGCGGTAGTGAATCCGAACAAGCCGTTCAAACTGCGAATCGTGTTTGACGCTGCCGCCGAGGTCAATGGCATCTCCTTAAACAGTCGCCTGCTTAAGGGGCCAGAAGAATACAAACCGCAGCCGTCTATTCTTTTCCGGTTCCGTGAAACGGCAGTTGGCTTGTGTGGCGACATCAGGGAAATGTTCAACCAAGTGCTTATACGCCCAGAGGATAGACGCGCCCAGCGATTTTTATGGCGTGACGGTGACTCTGGCCGAACTCCCGATGTGTACGAGATGCGCGTGATGACATTTGGAGCCGCTTGCTCCCCTTGTGCGGCCCACTACGTTAAAACACGAAACGCGTTAGAACGCGACAGCCGCTATACAGCCCGCGCTATTACTGCTATTTTGGAAAATCATTACGTGGACGACTTCGTAGATAGCTTCAACTCGCCAAGGGAATCCATCGACATCGGGGCACAGGTAAGAGCGATTCACATGGGCGCCGGCTTCGAGCTTCGCAATTTTACATCGAACTCGACGGAGGTGATTGCTGCGTTGGATGGCGTTGACGTCGATAAGGTTATTGGGATAAAGAATGGTCTGGGCACTGAGCGGGTACTGGGTTTGCATTGGCACTCCACGACTGACAACTTCAAATTTGGACTCAAATTCAATAACGTGAGTGAAGCGGTGATGAGCGGTACTAGATGTCCTACGAAGAGGGAGCTCCTCAGTGTGGTCATGTCCATATTTGATCCGCTGGGGTTCCTGGGTAACTTTGTTGTCGGGGCGAAACTGTTAATGCGAGAGGTGTGGAGGCATGAAACGCGCTGGGATGAACCACTTCCAGTAAACATTGCTGCGTCATGGGAAAAGTGGCGGAGGCAACTGCCATCGGTAGTCTGGTATACCTGTCCTCGATTCTACTTCCGCAACGGTGCGCCGGAATCACTACAGTTACACACATTTGGCGACGCCAGCGAGAATGCCTTTGCGGCCGTCACGTATTGGAGAGCCAAGAACGCTCGTGGTGAGGTAGAGGTTGCCTTCATTTGCGCGAAATCTAAGTGCGCTCCATTGAAGCCGCTTACCGTACCGCGCTTAGAGCTGCAAGCTGCCGTATTAGGAACGCGTCTACAGCAAGCCGTATGCGAAGCACACTCCTTTAAACCAAACAAACGTTTCCTTTGGTGTGATTCTACGACGGTCATCAAATGGGTTCGAAGCAAGCACCGTAAATATAAGCCGTTTGTTCAGCACAGAATTGCTGAAGTTTTAGCCACCACGCAAGTGTCCGAGTGGCGATGGATACCCACGGCAGAAAACGTGGCCGACGAAGCCACGCGCGCGAACCATGCAATCGTGTTTGGACCTACTGGGCGCTGGGTACTAGGCCCGTCGTTTCTACGAGAAGAGGAGCATGCCTGGCCCTCCGAAGATGCAGTTTTCCTAGACTCAGATGAGTACGATGAAGAACTACGACCACAACACGCATTAACCATCGTAAGTCAAAATTTCATAAACTTTAATCGCTTCTCTTCATACAACAGGTTGTTGAGGACCACAGCCTGGGTTATACTGTTCGTCAAAACCTGTCGCCGAATTCAAATTAAGAGTCCCTACGGTCTTAGTGCTGGCGATCTTGAAGCGGCGAAACTGCTCCTATGCCGACTGGTTCAGGGCGAATCCTTCTCCGAAGAAATTCAGCAGATACGCGATGGACAAGACATAACGAGACAGAACTCGTTGCTACAACTGCTGCCATACCTAGCTGAGGATGGTGTACTACGTGCTCGCGGGCGCATTGATGCCGCCAGCTGGCTTCCGATCTACACGAGGCGCCCCATAATATTGCCACCCACTCACGCATATACGAAGCTAGTTACAGCACAATTCTGAAGCTACAATATGCGCCATCCGCCGCGTCTACTGGGTACCTCGGTTAAGGACGCTTCTACGAAACGTCAGCGCCAGCTGTAATGTGTGCCGCCTCCGTAAGGCGACACCGGTTCCGCCACTAATGGGGCCGCTTCCCATCGATAGGCTCACGCCCCACGTTAGGGCGTTTACATACACTGGCATGGACTATTTTGGACCCCTCAACGTAACAGTACGGCGCAGCACCGAAAAGCGGTGGGTGGCACTTTTCACCTGCCTTACCACACGAGCAGTGCACCTGTAAATGGCACACGACTTGAGCACTGACTCCTGCATCATCGCCCTTCGCAATTTTGTTAACCGCAGAGGAGTGCCTGTGAGGTTAAGATCCGATAACGGAAAGAACTTCGTTGGCGCCAATAATGAAGCCAAACGATTCTCTGAAGTTTTCGACTGCGAGCGTGTGCAGGGTGAATTGTCGCAACGAGGCATCGATTGGGTATTTAACTCGCCGTTTAACCCAGCTGAAGAAGGCGCCTGGGAGAGGATGGTGCAGTGCGTCAAGCGAGTGTTGCGCCAAACGCTAAAGGAAGTGGCCCCACGTGAGCACACACTCAATTGCTTTCTGCTCGAGGCGGAAAACGTCGTCAACTCCCGGCCTCTCACGCACCTGCCCATCTCTCCCAACCAAGAGCAGCCGTTAACGCCGAACGATTTCCTGCAGGGATCATCCAATACTGCGCATACGCCCAGTGTGACCGAAATACCAACCACTCCCCTTGCTATGCGTCAGCAGTGGCGAATTGCTCGCCAACTCAGAGACCACTTCTGGAAGAGATGGGTGCTGGAGTATCTCCCGACGCTAACACGTCGTGAGAAGTGGTGTCAACCAACAAAACCGTTGAAGGGTGGGGACTTAGTATTCCTGTGCGACCCTAACGTTCCAAGAAGGCAATGGTGCCGAGGCGTGGGGGAGCAGTTGTATCCTGGCAAAGATGGTGAGATACGGCAAGTTGATGTGCGCACGAACTCCGGGGTGAAGCGAAGAGCCGTTGCAAAGTTAGCCGTTCTGGATATTGAAGCTGGTGAATCGGGAGATTCACGGGGGCGGGTATGTCCCAGAACGCCACCTATTGAATGAATACTTTTACATTTGAAGTCTGATCTGGCTACCCTGTAAACTGATCGCTGTTTGCCCTTCTGCTTATTCGTCGTTTCCCTTTGTCCTGTATCGCGGCGAATTCATTCGCCCTCATTTATATTCTCTCCTTGTAAAATTTGTTTCATTCGTTGGCAAGCACCCGGAAAGGCACACAGCGGTGAGTAAAACAATTCAATTTATTAAATGTGTATTTACGTGCTAAAGAGCGAAATACACCACACAAGCGGCTTGTCAAACATACTTTTCCCATTTTGCCATAGACCATGCAAACATGAGTCGTTCAAGCACAGAATTTTAGTTTTCTTTCGGTTAACAATGTAAAACATTTTAGTTTTCTACCATTATTCTCCCTTACGTCTTCACTTGGTGAAATTTCAGTTGCAATTGAGGCGATTTTACCATCCACATCGCAAGCGGTTTGATCAAACGTCAACATGGCGGCCAGAAAATCAAAAAAATTTGATTTTTGCTCAAATTTCCCTCAAGCGGTTTGTCAAACCTTCAAACACCCCATAGACAGCACAAATGGCTTGAAGCAAAGGGAAATTTCGCTTGGTTTGTCAAGCCGCTTGTGTTGTGTATTTCGCTCTTAAGTTTAAATAACTTTATGTTTTAGAAATAAACCACAGCTATCGCATGGAAATCAAACGTGCGTTAAATTCGTTTTATTGATCCGGGGCCAACGACACGAAGAGATAGCTAAAATTCATGTGCGCATTTTAAAACTTGACCTGATGCTATACTACTGAACATGTTGAACATTTATCCCTTCAAGTACGGTTTGGTCATCTTTAAATTTCTACGATTCTGTTCAGATAGTAATATTCTACACTTGACTGCTAAATGTGTTGTTGTCGAAGTCTCGGATTAAGGAAGTGCTGAAATATGAAATTTTTAAAATTACGTAAATTAAAAAATTTTAATAAATTTAAACGACCAATATACAGAGCGCTGTACCAATTTTTTATTAGTAATTTTTTAATAAGTAAATGAGCACAACTAAAGAACTTCAATTCTAATAGGTACTTGAACAGTCTTGTA